ATATGTTAACAAATATTAATGTAAAGTATGTTCAAAGCATTCAGAACTTGTTTGATTAAATAAGCAATGCCAAATCCAAGCACAAGCAATAATTGTAATAAAGATATAAAAGAAGAAATTACAATTAATACTATAAAGAAGAAAATATTGCAGATTAAAAAAGCATGAGCAAACTTTTGATGTTTGTAAAGCGTTAGTAAAGAGAAGATTTGATTATGGTAAATGAAATTAGCAAGCATTACCAAAGCAGAAGCAGCAAGCATGCCAGTGGGCAAAGGAGAGTTCATAGCAAAAACAGTTTACCATCTTCCAGAGATTGGTCTTTTGGTAATGGGTCGACATTGGCCATTGGTAGTGAGTTTGGGATAGAGATGGCATTGGGTTCAGAAGAGCCCAAGCTCAACTCACTTGGCTGTTTATTTATCGGTCCACGAGGATCTCTAGCAGCAGTGGGCATTCCCATTACCGGTCCCATAGTACCCATTGTCATGCCATAGGGTGTTCCATATTGTCCACTCATTGGACCCATCTGGCCCATCATTGGGTGAGCATAGCTCGGCTGTGGTTGATATGACTGCTGGCTCATAGACGGTTGTACCGTCATCTATAAATAACAATTATTTTGCAATCACAATTACATTGATGTCAATTTATACTTTAAAGCCTAACAGCATATATACATATGTGTATATATATATATATATATATATATTACCTGCACAATGGCTGGATCATTTGGAATAGAACTAACATTATTCACCACCCGAATATCTTTAATATCTGAACCACGGAACAAAATGTACTCATACACTTGATTCTGTGGTGCTACAGGAAGTTGTGTCTCTCTATCCTCAGTTCCAAAGGAACGCACTATAACACAAAAAAAATTAAGAATAAATAAATAAATATATTTATTTATATATATATATTATATATTATTATAAAAAAAAACATGTTATTTGAATTAAATTTTAAAATTGATTTCCATAAGGCATATATTTAAAATAAATTAAAAATGTAATAACATAAAATAAAATAAAAAGTTATAATATCTAGTATAATAATATAATTTACATATTGAATTAAAAGTTCAAGTTCAAACCTAATGTGTAATGCTATTAAATTCAAATCTAACGATTATAACAGTTTTGTAATATGGTTGAAAAAAGAAAGGACAGGGACATAAACAGGACAAGCATGTAACACAAACATTCCACACAATGGTGGATGTAAGGAATGGCTTTCAGGCAAGCTAACTTTGTATAAACATAATTATCCCGTATTATCACACCGGGAAATACTAAAATTTTAGTTGAATATGTGTGTTTTCATATATACATCATATTAAATCAAATTTATTAAGATTTCGATAAATAAATAAAAAGAACTTTGAGATAATGAAATGTTATGATACAACTATTCAAAGATATACATTATTCATTTTAAATATTTTAAAAATTTCATTTAATTAATTTTATTGAAGGATGGGTAATAGAAAAGTATGTAGTGGTTTAGTTAGATAAATTATGTGTGACACGTATTGCAGTTCCAACTCGATTACTTTGCATTTCAATAGAAGTTCCTATAATTCGGGGACTATTAAACAAAAGTCCGGTCTGCTTATAGAAATCTGAAATGCATTAACCGCCGATATACGTTTCGACAACTTGTATTTAAATTGGGAATATTCGACAAAATACCCGTTATAAATGACGAGTGACCCCGGTTGTTTTGTATGGAAGCTTCACCGGACGGATCAAATACCGACAGTTTCGGAAACATATCCCAGTGAAATATGTACGAGGAAACTATCGAATTTTCATTAACGATGTGAGAACGAAGCATACGAAGCGAAAAGAAGAGGATAATCGAGAATTATTAGTGGCAGGCATTTCAAGAAAATAACCGGGAAAAGGAGCAGCGGCAAAACCGATTTCGGTGTCCATCTTGATTTCAGACTCACCATTAGCTAGGGCAATCGTGCATTCTTGAGGATCCACGGTAAAAAGTCGGCCTTCGTAACGAATATCCGCCTTCGATATTAAACTAATCTTCGAACCCAATTCTGGCATTCCTCCGCTCATCTTGAATCGTTTTCTTCAGAACAGTGATCGATGTGATATTATAGGATTCACAATACCATCTGACGAAACCACCAGCTGACACCAATGGTCGACAGCAAACTGCCAAGTCTACCAACAGAAATTGCGCATGCGCCACACCCCCAGAAATCCAGAATGCCTAATGTACGTATCAAATGTGTAACAAATTTGAGAAAAGAAAAAATATTATGAATTGTAATGTAGTTCAACATTGCAAGATGAACCATTTTTTTCAATATAATGTTATCTATTGTTTACGATGAACATCTTTCATAGATTTAGATATATTTTAAGCACTATCTATGTCTAGAAATGAAAAACTGCAGTAACTTAAAAATATGAGAAAATAAATGATGGCAAATAAAATACATGTGGACACATGTGAATGAATTCAAACTTTCAAAATTCGATCCTTTACTATTGGTATCCTTGATTAAAGTCATCTTAAAGACTTGAAAGTTGTGTAAGTACAATTTGCTTTCGACCTAATCTTATAAGGGATTTTACGAATTCTCTGAATTTTAGAATTATTATAGCAAAAACATTGAAATACGATTCACGGAAAATCTATTTTATTGTGTCATAGAAATTTCTCCAATAGATGTTACATTGATTACCCGTCTTCGTACATTGTACCTCTGGCCAACATGGCGGCTTCGTTGGGTCGAGTTTGTAAATCTGGTCTTTTAAAGACGAATTATGGAACCTTATTCAGTCAGGTATATTATTTAGAAATATCAGTTGTTTTCTAATATGTTTACTCATTTATTCTAAACATATCATTCTTTGCCGAAGTGTTGCTGTTAGGATATTGACATTCGAAAGATGATATGAGTGAATCCCATGGCACTGTACAACTTGTCGGCTGCTATGACACTTTTTTTCAAAGATATATTAATTTAATAGTTCTTGCCATTGGTTTACTTGTAATTTCTTACACATTGTAACAAGATTATAGATTGAAGAAGATCTCGAAGACGTTTTATCTGATGTTATGTAATAGTGATCAGTACTGAAAATTGTGATGCTGCCATGACCATACAGGCATGAACACAGTTTGGACTATTAAAAAATCTAATTTCTGACTAAAATTATACATAATTTTTTATTAAGAATGCGACCACTCTCAATATATATGATGAATTAAAGGAAGTACTAGTAAAAGTAACTTAAATCTATTGCAAATACCAATAGCTATTAACTAATCATTATTTTAATTGGTAAAGCACAGAATGTCTTAGTATTACTGTTAATTTTAACCAATATATAAACCTAAGAGAAAACTGTTTGATTAAAGTCTTGATTAGTTTTACTTAACAAGAAATCTTTGTTACAGCATGCGCATAATTTTTCAACAGCAAACCGATGGTCTAAGGGTAGAAAAGCGGTATGTGTATTTTTATAATCATTTGAAGATGTTCTGCCCATTCTTAATCTAATGTGCATCCAAACCTTTAATCCTCATTTAATACGTGTATACATATTGATAGTAAGTTCAACATTTATAAACTTACAAATGAATAACAAAAGTCTAATATTATTATTAAAATGTTTCAGTTACTAACATGTCTAGGAGTAACAGCAGGGGGACTCACTGCATTAATTTATGCATTGGAAAAGTCAGTGCAAGCTTCCTCGGGTATCATTATTCCTCATTATAAATGGGACTTTGATGGATTATTCAGGTCATTTGATCATGCAAGGTAATTAAGTATACAATAAATTATTACAAATAGATATATACCATGTGTATAAATATAAATTTTATGATTATTAGTATGCGACGTGGATGGGAAGTATATAAGAATGTGTGTTCAGCTTGTCACAGTTTGCAATTTGTAACTTACCGTGAACTTGTTGGTGTTACACACACTGAAGAAGAAGCTAAAGCCATCGCTGAAGAAGTTCAGGTAAAGAATTAAGACAATAAAAATAATTTGTCAATGTAAATAAAATAAATTCAATAATGGAAACGCTGATTTATGTAGGTAGAAGATGGACCTGATGCTACAGGTGCTATGTTCATGCGCCCTGGTAAATTATCTGATCGTATCCCATCACCATATCCCAATGAAGAAGCTGCTAGAGCAGCTAACAATGGTGCTTATCCACCCGATTTGTCTTATATTGTTAACGCAAGACACAATGGAGAGGTAAATGTCATTTAACATGTGTATTGTATACTTAAGTTTCAATAGTAATTACATTACTTGAGATACAATTGGAATTTCAGAATTACGTATTCTCATTGTTAACTGGATATTGTGACCCACCAGCTGGTGTAACTCTTAGAGAAGGTCAGTATTTCAACCCATATTTCCCAGGAGGAGCACTTGGTATGGCACAGGCAAGTAAAATAATCTATTTAAAATTTTCATATCATCTTAAAACTGCACCAGTTAAAAGTACTTTCAAATTATTTGTATTAAATATCTTAGGTAGTCTTTGATGAAGTCTTAGAGTTCGAGGATGGTACACCAGCAACTGCTTCTCAAATAGCAAAAGATGTTGTCTCATTTCTTATGTGGACATCGAATCCAGAATTTGATGACAGACAGCGATTGTTCGTAAAGGTAAAACAGCATAGGAATTTCAAATATATTTCCCAGATCATATTCTATTTATTTAAAAATTATATAATTGTATATTATTTGTAGGCGATTATTGTATTCTCAACACTATCAGCGTTAACATATTACTGGAAAAGACACAAGTGGACAACTCTTAAGAGTACCAAAATTGCTTTTACACCCACACAAAAAAAAATATAATATCCTCTGAATTTAAAACATTTCAGAGATTAGCGCAAAGAAACTAATTTGACGATGTTAGACTTCTGTATTGGAATGTAGTTTTATAACTTATTTGAAAATTACGTCATCTCTGGAAATGCAATAGTACGAAAACTGTCACATGTACTATCACAATATTGCTAGCTGACAGTCAATCTACTTACGCCTTGTACATATAACTACAGTCAATCATGCCGTCGTCTGGTTTAAATAAATTGTTAAACATAATTAATTATGCATTTTTTACTTGCTAACGACTATTCCCAAAGTATCGATATTAGAAGGAGTAGAAAAGTAATAATATGAAAATCGTTTCTAAAGAAATCCTTTTATTTTTTTTTTAAGCTTGACTTCATCGACATAGAGTAATAATTATTTAATATTTTTAATAGTATGAATTAGATTACACTATTACATTATTTATAGTGTAACACTGAAATGCGAAGCTGATAAAGAGGTATGTATAATGTTTCAGGTAGTTGAGAATTTCATAATATTACATGATAAGTGTGGAATTCTGTTAAAAATCTCGTACTTTGGTTTGGATTTACTTTAAAAATGAAGGACATTGTTACACAGTTTGGATAACAAAACTCCAAAAAATTATATTATGTTTGAAATAATTTATGATTATATCTTTCTTTTCTAAAATGTAACATAATTATGGAGAACCTATTTTCCGTTCTGCATATACCTGTATGGAACGGTATAGTTTGTAGCATTTCATAATAGAATTGCGCTAGCATTATACACCCGATTCCCTAATTATTGAAAAGCTATTTATGATACTTTGGATGTTTATTAAGAATTAAATATGGTTTTACTAATACATCAATTATGAAGCTCAGCTCGAAAAGTAAGCAATACACTTTTACTACATCTGTAGTATAAAGATCAAATGAATCTAAAATATATTTCTAATATATAAATAGTGGAATGGAAAACAGAAGATTTTCAATATAATGCTTCATATATTGATGTACTCACTGATGCAACACTATACCATTTACCATATATACTACTGTAAACCAAATTACTGCTTGGTATGTTTCAATTGCAACATAATCAATTAAGAAAACATATTTGTTCTTTTTATACAGAATAAGAGGCCGTTCTTGGATGATGTCTCAACCAAACAAGCTCTAATACATGTACAATTTTATGCTACTCGCACAAAAAGGCACATCGTTGCATCAAATATTGATCTCAACAACCTGTTGTTTGCTAAAATCTTAATAACAACTAACAGAGGAGGAAATAAAGTAAAGCTTGGCAGAAATGAGCACACGAAAATATAAATTATCAGAATTTAGAATGGTCTATAATAGTAATTACTGAGACACCTCCACAGATTATGAAATGGCACTTATGCACAAACTGAAATGTTTTTTAATTCATATTCAGGCAATTCTTCTTTC